CAGATTTGTGGAACAGACAAACCAGTATCTGGTTCCAATGTCTCACATCGTCAAGCTTCCAAAACATGCAATCAACCATGTCACCAAGGCCGATAAATTGCTCCCCTGAGTTACCTCTCATGGCCAGCATAGGTCGGTGTGGGGCATGGCAGGGTCACGATAACATACACAACAAGAAATTCATGATAACATATTTTAATGAAAATAACTCCAGATAAGAACAAAGCATTAAAACGGCTGCCACGTCTGTACAAACTATCACTGATTAAAATTTGGAGTGTAATCATCAGCACTGTTTACCTTATGATGGTGAAAGGAAAACAAATCAGCTTCATAAATACCAGCACATATAAGCTTGTCTGAAGTTGATTATGCTGCAAACCAGATTTCCAAACATGACCCTGGTACTTCTAAAATGCATACTATATACACAGTAACGATGAAGCCTGTCAAACAATAGACCAAGATGGCAAAACCTTAAAACTCCTTACACCATAAATTGCAACTCTGAATTGTCGTAAATGTCTTTGAGAGTCTAAGAGTAGGATTCATTAGGAAAACACTGGTGCTATTTGCTTTGGCTGATGTTTTCTGTTTGCTTTTTAATGACTCTTAGAAAAGGTCAGCAAAATTTATACTTCATCACTTTTGACTTGTATACTTGTATGTTTCCATGATACAAAAGACTGGTTCTCATGTCAAGTGGATATTTAGATATACCTGACATACTGTCAGTTTGTTATTTAATTTTGCACTCACCAATAACTAACTTGTATGATGATGGTCTTTAAATAATCGAGTCTGGACATGGCAATCTAGAGATTGACATGATGAACATCGAACAACAAAATTGGGATCTAATGATATGTGACAACCAAGTTATCAGTGCTGAACACCTGATGCTTTCACTCCCTCTTACAATCAAATCTAACCAGAATCTCCACAGATCTGACATATCGGATTAACCCTATCAAATGTGATGTACTACATAGTATATATACACCTGTACATCAAAATGGGAAAACTACAGCCATCTAATAGAGTCTAGAACCATATACTCCAGCACTTGATAGCAAATCCATCAGTAGCATGACATGCCTGGACCAGACAATCATGTGAGTGATATCATGAGCATCAGTCACGTCCTATTTTCAGTCATCCCATAAAATCAAGTCATGCTATTAATGCATGCCCATAAAGTCAAACACAGGGACACAATCTGATCTGCATATTAAAAGTCAATCAAACTGAATCAAAGGATAAGGTATGATTAGGGCCCTTTGGTCTCACAGGATCTGCATATTTGAAAAAAATAGTATAAGTTTTAGATACAAGTGAATTGGGTTTAATGCTGCTTTGAAAAATATCCCTGGTATATGAGGGCATGTCAGCTTCATGTGGGAGGAGATCCCTGACATACGCCACCTTGGAGAAACCCATAACCACATGTACCGTGCCGACAATCCTTGAAACATAATCAGACCAAACTGGGATTCATGTCCACACTTAAAGGCTTCTGATATCTCCCCGTAAAAAACCCGGTGTTGCAGGCCATTTCTTTCCCCGGACTAAACTCTCCGCGGGGAAGTTTTGTCCTAGGATATTCTTACCCTCAAGAATTTTGGGCTTGGCTAAAGTCACACACAGTCACACACAGTCACACACAGACACACACAGACACACACACACACCTGTTTAAACTAGGATAATTTATTCTGTTTCTATGGAAAAGGGAAGGGGGTGAGATTCTGGCCTAGCTAGGACACCTCTACTCCACCCTTGCTCTTATATAAAAAGGACTCTTATATAAAAAAAATAGCCTAACTAGGCCAGAATCTCCCCCTTTTGATATAAGAACAAGGGTGGGATTGAAGTAGCCTTTAAAATTGATTCAAGGGTAGGAAAACTTTGGCCTAGGACAAAATTTCCCCAGAGAAAATTAAGCACAGGGGAGAAAAGTTTGTTCTAGGCCAAAGTTTCCACAGGGAAGGTTTGGCGAGGTTGAAAGTTTGGCCTGTTACATAATGGCAACTACCATTAATAATACACAAAAGTTAAGCAAATGTATCAGTTTTTGGAGACAACTTTAGCAAAAGGCTTATTTAATCAAGCTTAAGGGTGACCAACCCAATGGTAGAAATAAATAAGACTAAAAATGCCCTGCATAGTGAATTGTAATGCCATAGACAACTGCCACCCCAACATTGGAGAAATTGTTATGAGTTATCAGATAGGTTCACCAAAATGTTTCTTATTTACTAAATAAATAGTAAAACAATCATCTTAAAAAGCATTTTAATTTTTTAACAAGGGCAAATATTTCCTAAAAAGGTGGTTTCTCAAGAAATAGATTACACATCTGAGGTTTTTTTTGTTGATGTTGAAATATCGACCTTCTCCACTCCATCTAACTATCTACAGCATACTTGTGTATTCATATTATTTCAGAAGTAAACTTATAACTGTAACAAAAGAGAAAGGACCAGCTGCCAGGCTTTTGAATAGTCTTAACGTACATATCACTACCGGTACCGGTACTTCAGAGACATCCAAGTTACAACTATACATTTTCCAGTTTGGTGGAAAGAATATGCTACCTTGTCCAACATTAGGAATGTAAATTGGTCAGAATCATGTTTTTAAATGTTGCGACTGGTATATCTCGATATGGTATCAGGTGTGGCTGTATCATAATACATCATTATATAACATAACAAATATAGCAACGTTTAACCATATTTCTTAACATGCTAAGCTTAGCTGAGTATTAAATATCAGAGACTAGAGGACAGGCTTACACTTCTTGTGTGGGTGTTGGTAGGAAAAGAAGAAACAGAGATACTCTATCCATAATGCATGTTTCAAAATTGTCGGCACATTATATATTCCTGTTATATAACTAAATCATGACAAGACGTTCCAACACACAAATGCATGTTCTTGCTGTAATAACTAATAACCACAGCACTGTCACTTCTTCAGTTGCAGCAAATGGTTAATCATTGGCAATCGATTATTGTGAAAAGAAAATTCATCATTGGCACATCGTGTCCTGAGTAAAATAACCAAATTTTTCATGCCACTCAAAGATCTTCAAATCATGAATTTTCAAAATCATACTTAACCAGCGAATTTAATCATCATAAATATACAATTTTACATGATAGAATATCAGTTGAAAAAATAAACATAATATTGTTTATAGTTTTATGAAGACATTAACAATATACAAAAAATAAAAAAATGTATCATTTTTGCTGACATTACAATTTTAGCAAAAGGTTCTCCAATCCAGCTTAAGGGTGCCCAAACCAATGGCAGAAAATATAAAGCAAAAACATGCCCAAGCAAATTGGGGCAATTGAAGAAGATAAGGGTTCAGTCTTAACGAGAAATTGAAAAGAAAAATATTTATTTAATTTCTATAAAGGACTGTACGATTTTGGTGAAAATAATATTTTGCATATGTGCCCTATTACCCAAACTCCCATGAGACACATCAAGTAATTCTGGAGTGACAATCACTCAAATCTGTCCATTTATGAAGTACATTGAATGAGATCTGGCCCCGATTTTTCGAAACAAACTTAAGTCTGTTTTCAGACTTAAGTTTGAGTTTTGACTCAAATATGAGAAAACTCAATTGAGTCAAAATCTCAAACTCAGTTTGTAATTTGAGTAAAAACTTAAGTTTGTTTCGAGAAATCGGGGCCTGGTGGATAATCATGATATTAATATTAAAATAATAATAATGACTGACAAAGGTTGTAAGAATGTCATTGTGGAAAATATTTTTTTATTTCATAAGAGGGACAAAAAAAAGAGACAAATCTGCTCATAAATGTGTGAGCTAGTTTAAATAAAGGGTACATCCATTCTTGAGTGTTTGACTTGGTGATAACACCTCTTTGAACATTTTGAAAAATCGATCAGTTATGTCATGGTATGTCAGCGTAATATATGTGGAAAGCCTGTAGTAATGCAGCTCTCTGACATCGGATCCTAATACAATCAACCACAACCAGATCCTGCATGGGCAAAGGGACATAACTCTGCATAGGGAATAATGATTTCTATTTACACTGTGTTCAACTGTTAAATAAATTAAACTACAAGATTCAGCTACCGGGAACAATACTTATGTGAATCAGGTTGGTTGGATAATACACATGCATTCACACACATTCACCTCTATAAGTTATCATTCCAGCATCTCACACAACCTGCATTAAATGTGGAAGTCTCAATAGTTATATATCATATTATAAATAATACATTTTCCTTTGCTTCTCAGAAATTTATTTAACAGAGAGAATTTGAAGGGTGTGACTCATTCAGAGAGAGGGGCGTGACTAATTCAGAAAGAGGTAGGACTCATTCAGAGAGAGGGGCGTGACTAATTCAGAGAGGGGTAGGACTCATTCAGAGAGAGGGGCATGACTAATTCAGAAAGGGTAGGACTCATTCAGAGAGAGGGGCATGACTAATTCAGAAAGGGGTAGGACTCATTCAGAGAAATGGCATGACTAATTCAGAGAGGGGTGGGACTCATTCAGAGAGAGGGGTGACTAATTCAGAAAGGGGTAGGATTCATTCAGAGAGAGGGGCGTGACTAATTCAGAAAGGGGTAACATTCATTCAGAGAGAGGGACATGATGTCTTCTGAGAGAGGGATGTGATAAGGTCAGAGAGTGGGGGAGAGGGGGACGTGACAAGGTCAGAGAGTGGGTCAGAGAGGGGTGTGACAAGGTCAGAGAGAGGGGTGTGACAAGGTCAGAGAGAGGGACGTGACAAGGTCAGAGAGTGGGTCAGAGAGGGGTGTGACAAGGTCAGAGAGAGGGGTGTGACAAGGTCAGAGAGAGGGGTGTGACAAGGTCAGAGAGGGGGGACAAGTGACAAGGTCAGAGAGAGGGACGGACAAGGTCAGAGAGAGGGGTCAGAGAGGGGTGTGACAAGGTCAGAGAGAGGGGTGTGACAAGGTCAGAGAGAGGGTGTGACAAGGTCAGAGAGAGGGGGTGTGACAAGGTCAGAGAAAGGGACATGATGTGTTCTGAGAGAGGGACATGACAAGGTCAGAGAGTGGGGTAGAGAGGGGTGTGACAAGGTTCGAGAGAGGGATGTGACAAGGTCAGAGAGAGGGGTGAGACAAGGTCAGAGAGAGGGGTGTGACAAGGTCAGAGAGAGGGGTGTGACAAGGTCAGAGAGAGGGTGTGACAAGGTCAGAGAGAGGGGTGTGACAAGGTCAGAGAGAGGGACGTGACAAGGTCAGAGAGTGGGGCAGAGAGGGACGTGACAAGGTCAGAGAGAGGGACGTGACAAGGTCAGAGAGAGGGGTGTGACAAGGTCAGAGAGAGGGGTGTGACAAGGTCAGAGAGAAGGGACATGACGTGTTCTGAGAGAGGGACATGACAAGGTCAGAGAGTGGGGCAGAGAGGGGTGTGACAAGGTTCGAGAGAGGGACGTGACAAGGTCAGAGAATGGGACATGACGAGGTCAGAGAGAGGGGTGTGACAAGGTCAGAGAGAGGGGTGTGACAAGGTCAGAGAGAGGGGTTTAACAAGGTCAGAGAGAGGGACGTGACAAGGTCAGAGAGACGGACGTGACAAGGTCAGAGGGAGGGGTGTGACAAGGTCAGAGAGAGGGGTTTGACAAGGTCAGAGAAAGGGACGTGACAAGGTCAGAGAGCAGCATGAAAAAGCTGCACAATTCTGGGTAGGTCATAGATGGGCCCAAACCCTCTTCGGGCCACAATAATCTGAACATCCACAATATTTGTGAGTGCAAAGATTACAAATTAAATCAAGTCATTTCAAAAACATGTCTCCTCATTGAATGCAAAATACTTAACAGATAGAACCCAAAGGCCTTCAAGGATATTGAATCAAAGCGTCTAACACTGAGAATAATCATGAGTGATATAAGGTATCTTGAGAACTGCATCACCCTCAATAACTGAAGACAATCGGAAATTGGTGAAATGTTCAAAGAATCAAAGGATACATTGAAAGAAAACAAAGTTATTGTGTACTACAGGTGGCCTTTACAAGTTATAAATGATGTCTATTTCAAAGAGACAGCCTTGACAATATTGAGTAAAATATTTATAATAGCAGCTTAGATGACTGGCCTCATCAACAATGCTATCTGGAAAACCAGTTGCATGTTTTTGACACAAATATGATAACTGTAACTCTGTCACATAATTAATTGAAGTATTTGTACACCCATTGTCAATTTACACAATACAGCACAATCTACCAATATCTCCTCACATCTTCTCGTATCACCTCACACTTTCCTACATCTCCCCAAACTTTCCCATGTCTCCTCACATTTTCCTGTATCTCCTCACATCTTCTCATATTTTATTTTCCTTGCTGCATATCTTTATGTATATTCCAACATCTTTCCATATTGCCTCACAAATCATATCTCCTCACATTGACTATCACCTCGCATCTTCACATCTTCTCGTATCTTCTCATATCTCGTCACATCTCCATATCTTCCTCCTCTCTGATTGGGTTCAGACTAGCCATAGTGATATTGCGGATGTTTGGACAGTTACTCTGCACTACTGAGATAATCTCAGGATGGACGTGGGTAGCATCCAGGTTCAGGAGAGTCAAAGACATCAACTTCAGGCACCGGACTCCTGGCGAGAGAGCAGGCAAATATATGACAAATAACAAAAAGCAGGTAAAACTACTGAAGAATGGCCAGTTAGTGAATGGCAAGGTGAGTGGTTAGGGAAAGCAGTGAATGATAGGTCAGCAGTGTTTGTTTGCTGTTTTACGCCGCACTCAACAGTATTCCAGTTTTATTGTGACGGTCTGTAAATAATCGAGTCTGGACCAGACAATCCAGTGATCAACAGCATGAGCATCGATCTGCGCAATTTGGATACGATGACATGTGTCAACCAAGTCAGCAAACCTGACCACCCGATCCCGTTAGTTGCCTCTTATGACAAGCATGGGTTGCTGAAGACCAATTCTAACCTGGATCTTCACGGGTCCATATATCAGACGTAAGGAGCCTTAGAACCTTGTACAGCTAAACACAACATCAAACACAGGAGTGTATACTGTAGCTAGGCGACACTGTAAGCCTGTCAGACCACCATTCTGAGGTTTACCTTTGTCTGACACGCTAGTCCTGCTGAGATTGAGCTTGGTGAGGAGATGGCAGGAGTTGAGGCACCCGCTATACAGGAACTGGCTTGTAATACTGAAACATAGAATCGGTTCCAAGCAACGTTGTACAAGAGTGAAGACATACAATACCAGGAATTTGTCTTTTGGATTCCAAACTATGCGCTCATGAAGGACAAATTGGGAAACAAATTCAAATTTGGAATACTTATAATAGTTCTTCACTAATAGTTCTTATTCTCCTAACTTCAGAGACCGCCTCCGTGGTGTAGTGGTTAGAGCGTCTGCCCGGAGAGCGGAAGGTCGCGGGTTCGATCCCCGACCGCGTCATACCAAAAGACTATATTTGGCGATAAACAGAAACAATTGCCAACCTTCCAAACATTAATATGCAAAGTCTGTGATTATTTTTATATCAATAAATGTGCAGCTGAAATGTCAAATAGAGTCGATATGTTTTACAACTTATATTTGTCTTGTCATTCTCTGTTCGTGTAAATGCATTGTGCGATTGATACCTGTATTTACTTTGAAATAAAAGTTTAAATAAAAAAAACAGAGGTCTTTTTCCAGTCAGATGATGTATGATGTAGAGTAGTTTTACTTACCATGTGGATGAAAGACTAAGCTCCTCCAACTTGGTGAAAGCTGTCACATAACAAGAAATACATGGTGAAGGTACACATCAAAAACAATGAAACAAACATCAGTATTACAAGTTGTACACAGACTGCTAATGAAATGAAAAATGATTTAGAATGAAACAGATTTGTCTTCGTGAGTAAACCAGATACAAAGGGGAGTAACTCTTGTATAGAGGGAGTTTGTATAGAGTATATGTTGGTTGGTTGGTTTCTTGTTTAACAATATTCCAATATATGGCGGCAGTCTGAAAATAATCGAGTCTGGGCCAGACAATCCAGTGACAAACGTCATGAGTATCGATCTACGCAGTTTGGATACTCTGACCAAGTGTGTCAACCAAGTCAGCGAGCCTGACCACCCGATCTTGTTGGTCGCCTCTTCGACAAGCATGGGTTACTGAAGATTCGGACCTTCACAGGTCTGTAATTAACACAGAGAATAAACACCAAATAAAGAGCTTGAAGAATGAGTGTACAAAATCATGACAAGAAATTATATTATTTTTGTCCCATGCTGAAATGATCATACCTTTTATTCGAGTAGCTCCGACATCTGACACCAGCGTTCGGTCCAGAAAGAGTGTTTCCAAGTTCACCAGACCTGGGAGTATAATGAATGTACATAGATTGTAGGAAGGGGACATTTGTTCTTTCACTGACGTGTGCTCAAATGTGCTTTTATGCCACTGCAACTGTCAATGCTCACCTCACCCAAGGTTACATAAATCCATTATGCCTAAACTGTGATGTGATTATTTTTTGCTTTGGATTAGCTCTTATTGGGCAGTGTTCGCAAATTGTGTCTGACCCTCTGACAAATCCGGCAGATTCGCCAACGGTTCGATAGAAGTCTACAACCCACCGGCCCCAGTGTCGGACTGTATATTTCACAATGACTTTGACTGAAGTTGTTATATGTGACATGTGACACTTGTTTGCTGTTTATTTTATCTTAATTTTTCTTATGTTTGTTAATAATTTCAATGCCAATTATAAGAAATGTTAAATCTGAAATGTGTGTTTAATTTGATTCCATGGGTCCTGTGAATTTTCAATGGGTCAGACAGACATCTTAAACTTACAGGACCCAATGTCCTGTTACTTTGAAACACCACTCGGAACACTGATTGGGTCTAAGAACAAATCACATATTTTAAATCTTTCACGGTCTCTGAATAACCCCATCGGAACTTTGTATGTAAAATTCAGCCTGAGCACTTCAAGATATATTATCAGCTGTTATGTGCACAGAACACAGGTCACACCACTGATGAAGTTATTTACTTGTTAGTTTGTGTAATGTCATGATCAGCAAGTTTCAAACTATGTGAGGGCAGTCTGTAAATAATCAACTCTGAACCAGACAAACCAGTGATTAATATCATGAGCATCAGTCTGCATAGCTGGCACATATCAACCAAGTCATGGAGCCTGACCACCAAATCTCATTTGCTCTTGTAATAAGTGAGTGAGTGAGTTTAGTTTTATGCCACACTCAGCAATATTGCAGCTATATGGCGGCAGTCTGTATATGATCGAGTCTGGACCAGACAATCCAGTGATAAACAGCATGAGCATCGATCTACACAATTGGGATACAAAGACACGAGTCAACCAAGTCAACGAGCATGACCACCCGATCTCTTGATCACTTTGATCTCTCTGATCACTTTGATCTCTTTGATCACCCCTCACAACAAGCATGGGTTACTGTGAGATCTTCACAGGTGGGATGAGATCGGAAACTACTGTAAAACTTCTAAAGCCGCCATCATCATCATCACCACCACCATCATCATCAAAGCACATACCATCTAAATACAGCAATCCTTCATCTGTTATCTTCGTGTTATTGAGAAGAAGCTTCTTTAGACTGCAAATAAACACATGTAAATTGTTCACAGATGATGACATTTTGTTTAGTTTAGTGCATGTATCAATAACCAGTCTACCTTGTTATCTCACAATGAGTAGGTTGTGAGGTCAAGGTTGGTCAGAGGTTAACATTGGGTCAAGGACAGTTTAGCAGACATATCAAATACATACCTTGTTATCTTGCCTATGTGTATCAAGCCTTCGTCCCCAACTTTGATGTAGTTGGTAAGGTCAAGGCTGGTTAGAGGTAAACCTGGGGTCAAGGACAGTGTCAATGGTATAAGTGCTGAATTAACACAAATCAGTCTTTAGATGGCTACTTGTTAAAACATCTACACCAAACAATGCATCAGTATGGAATGAGTAACTATAATTTCACAATAAAATTCATATAAAATTGCATACAGTAAATTTTACATTTTTTTTACCAACATATTCAAATGGATTTCCCATTTTTTTTTAGAGTGAAAAATACCCAAACCCTCTTCAAACATACGTTTATGCAGGAATGAAATATCCATTTGCACTTCAGTTGATTGTTATACAATATTATTAATGAACCTCCATCTTTGACCCAAAGATGAAAGAACTGAAACATACACGATCAGTTGTCTAACAATGATAACAATAGTCCCCTTTCATAGTGCTATTCCAGAATGAATGTCTTGCTCAAAGCACTATTATTATTACCCTGGATAACTCAAGCTGCATGTGAGCCACTCGAAGATTAATAGTCACATGACTTAACCCACCAGGTACCCATTTTTGTCTTCTGGGTGAACAGAGACATGTTTGAACAAACTCACTTGCCTAAGGTGAGGCCACATGTATCACATGCGCTTCCATGTGGGGCAGGACTAATGTTCTAGAAAACTCTCAGGAGTCAAGCTGCCAAACACGGTCACCCATCCAAGGACTCTCCTTGCTCAACGTTGCTAAACTACAACTGATTTGTGACCTGATCTCTATGCACAGGACCAAATATGTGCAAACGGCTTTGGAAATCAAAGGGAGATATTCCTCACAAAGAGACCAAATGCGATGCTGTGAGATGTATGTGACTGACCCTATTGAATTGATGAGTGTGTCGTGCCCTATGTACCATTTGTAAATAAACACAACAATGTACAACATCAGGGACATACACCTACAATATTTGATATACCTGTGCAACAAACCTTTGTAAACACTGATGTAAAACATTTATGTACCACATCACACACATACCTATATGATATACCTGTGCAACAAACCTCTGTAAAACATTTATGTACCACATCAGAGACATACCTATATGATATACCTGTGCAACAAACCTCTGTAAAACATTTATGTACCACATCAGAGACATACCTATATGATATACCTGTGCAACAAACCTCTGTAAACATTTATATACCTGTACATTTATGTACACATCAGAGACATACCTATATGATATACCTGTGCAACAAACCTCTGTAAAACATTTATGTACCACGTCAGAGACATACCTATATGATATACCTGTGCAACAAACCTCTGTAAAACATTTATGTACCACATCAGAGACATACCTATATGATATACCTGTGCAACAAACCTCTGTAAAACATTTATGTACCACATCAGAGACATACCTATATGATATACCTGTGCAACAAACCTCTGTAAAACATTTATGTACCACATCAGAGACATACCTATATGATATACCTGTGCAACAAACCTCTGTAAAACATTTATGTACCACATCAGAGACATACCTATATGATATACCTGTGCAACAAACCTCTGTAAAACATTTATGTACCACATGTACAGAGACATACCTGTATGATATACCTGTGCAACAAACCTCTGTAAAACATTTATGTACCACATCAGAGACATACCTATATGATATACCTGTGCAACAAACCTCTGTAAAACATTTATGTACCACATCAGAGACATACCTATATGATATACCTGTGCAACAAACCTCTGTAAAACATTTATGTACCACATCAGAGACATACCTATATGATATACCTGTGCAACAAACCTCTGTAAAACATTTATGTACCACATCAGAGACATACCTATATGATATACCTGTGCAACAAACCTCTGTAAAACATTTATGTACCACATCAGAGACATACCTATATGATATACCTGTACAAACCTCTGTAAAACATTTATGTACCACATCAGAGATACATACCTATATGATATACCTGTGCAACAAACCTCTGTAAAACATTTATGTACCACATCAGAGACATACCTATATGATATACCTGTGCAACAAACCTCTGTAAAACATTTATGTACCACATCAGAGACATACCTATATGATATACCTGTGCAACAAACCTCTGTAAAACATTTATGTACCCACATCAGAGACATACCTGTATGATATACATGTGCACAAACCTCTGTAAAACCTTATGTACCACATCAGAGACATACCTATATGATATACCTGTACAACAAGATAAAACATTTATGTACCACATCAGGAGACATACCTATATGATATACCTGTGCAAGCGAACCTCTGTAAAACATTTGTACCGCCTCGGTGTCATTCCTGTATGATATACCTGTAACAAACCTCTATGGTAAGACACTTTGTACCACGTCTAAATAGCCTTAGACCTATGCAAGACATCACAAGATAACAAGTCCATGAAGACATTTTGTCACTCTCTTAAACAAAAACCGCCTATGTGTCACCTTGCATCTGTGTAAACAAGTATATTGATATACCTGTGCACAAACCTCTGTAAAACATTTATGTACCACATCAGAGACATACCTACATGATATACCTGTGCAGCAAACCTCTGTAAAACATTTATGTACCACATCAGAGACATACCTATATGATATACCTGTGCAACAAAGCCTCTGTAAAACATTTATGTACCACATCAGAGACATACCTATATGATATACCTGTGCAGCACACTCTGTAAAACAAATCAAGTAATACCTGTCCTGTTATATCAAACCTGTGGCATAACCTTTAGGCACCCGTCAGAGACATACCTGTCTGATATACCTTTTGTGTACCACACCGCTCTATTGGCAAGTACACCTCTGCATAGCTCATGACATACCGCAATACATGTAACCTCTGTAAAACTTTATGTACCACATCACACACATACCTATACTTAAATCTTTGTAAACACTGATGTAAAACATTTATGTACCACATCAGAGACATACCTATATGATATACCTGTGCAACAAACCTCTGTAAAACATTTATGTACCACATCAGAGACATACCTATATGATATACCTGTGCAACAAACCTCTGTAGAACATTTATGTACCACATCGGAGACATACCTACACGATCATGATAAACACTCCGTGTAAATGCGCGGTATGGCTACGCCTCTTTTGTACCACATCTCTAGCAAACAATCTGCTTAACCATGTTAACACACCCATGAAGACATCACAGCTCAACAAGTCCATGAAGACATTTTTGTCACTCTCTTAAACAAACCTGCTGTCACTCTCTTAAACAAAACCGCCTATGTGTCACCTGCATGTGTAACAAACCTGTGGAAGACACTGTGGGAACGTAACACCTGTACAACACATCCTGGAGTGTGAACTTACCAACAAGATGGGCAAGTCCTTGGCTTGTCGTTGTGTGTCTGCTTGGAAGATATAATGTGTGCAACTTTAAACCTGAAAATAGAAGCAATATCTTAATGTGTTATAAAGACACATTGTCAGTAAATAGCCTTAGATTGCAAACATGAGTATCTCGTATGTATCTCACCTGTGAGATTTTGCACAGCAAGATTGCCCATCACATTCTCTGTATTGGCTACACTGAGACGCACACACTCCAAATCAAGTAATACCTCCTCGTACCTCACCTGTGAGATATTGCAGGGCGAGAACTCCAACCACATTCTCTGTATTGGCTACACTGAGACGCACACACTCTAAATCAAGTAATACCTCCTCATATCTCACCTGTGAGATATTGCAGGGCGAGATCTCCAACCACATTCTCTGTATTGGCTACACTGAGACGCACACACTCTAAATCAAGTAATACCTCCTCATATCTCACCTGTGAGATATTGCAGGGCGAGATCTCCAACCACATTCTCTGTATTGGCTACACTGAGACACACACACTCTAAATCAAGTAATACCTCCTCGTATCTCATAGATCACCTGTGAGATATTGCAGGGCGAGATCTCCAACCACATTCTCTGTATTGGCTACACTGAGACGCAAAAAACTCTAAATCAAGTAATACCTCCTCATATCTCACCTGTGAGATATTGCAGGGCGAGATCTCCAACCACATTCTCTGTATTGGCTACACTGAGACGCACACACTCTTAATCAAGTAATACCTCCTCGTATCTCATAGATCTGTGAGATATTGCAAGGCGAGATCACCAACCACATTCTCTGTATTGGCCAGAATGAGATACAGACACTCCAAATCAAGTAGTACATCCTCATATCTCACCTGTGAGATATTGCAGGGCGAGATCGCCCACCACATTCTCTGTATTGGCTACACTGAGACATGTGAGTGATGGATGACCAGACAGGCACAGCAGAGAGTCTGTTCCAATATCTGTGTTGGCAACATCTAATATTTCCAGTTCCTTCAGATGCTGGATACCTGATAAACTACACACCTGAAACAGTGAGTGAGTGAGTGAGTGAGTGAGTGAGTGAAGACAGTTTTGGAATTATTTGAAGTCTGTTGGTTACGATATATCATATTTTGACAGATTTCCCAAAAATATCTGAAAACTATTGGTTAAGCATTTGACTATCTCATTTTTCTTACAATGCCTTAGTTACGAACAGTCCCCACACAAAACAACTGCTTTACTTTACCCTTGATTTTACATCATAATTCATGACATTTATTTACACATGCAGCAGTATTTATATAAGTCTTGTTTACTTCTTCACCAATCAAATTTTATACAGTTTCTTAATTGAATATATTTATGACACTTTCTTACCTTTGTCTGTTCTAGGTACAGGGACTTTAATTTGGATAAAACTGAAAGGAAAAAAAGACAATGTAAAATCGCTAGAGTGACATTTTGTTCTTTGAGCCTTAGTGTACTGGTTTACTCACCTCTCTCAGACAACATGACTGATGACGATTCACCTCTAAAATGTGGTATGACCAGTGTTTGCAATACCTTAATTTGCCAGTTGGCCATCAGGGCCTGCTGCTGCCTGCAGGCCTTAAAATCTACAGGCCCTGAATGAAATCTATAGGCCCTGAATGAAATCTGCTGGCCCATTTTGTTAAAATCAAACCAGTAAAAACAAAATAGACTACACTGTACACAGTTTTACATTGTTTCAATTAACGAAGCCTATGGCACTGAGAGAACTTTTTCTTTGTTAAAGACTGGTGTGGTGTTGACATTCCTACGCACAAAGCGCTGAAATACCAGAAAGTGAAACTGTAAGTATCGTAACATGATGGATCATGCATGATTCCCGAACGTTAACAAAGAAATACAATATGGGAAAGATTCCAGTTGGCAGAAACAACATTGACAGATAATTTACTGGAGGCCACAAAGGCCTGCAAATATTTGAAACTGCTATACAATAACAACCGGCGCTGGGCCTCCGGGCCAGTGATTATTTCGAACGCTTGGTATGACAACCACTCACCTCTAAGATGTATGACAACCACTCACCTCTAATATATTGTATGAAAGCTACTTTATTATATCACCTCTAAGATGTGGTATGACAAGATGGCTGACACTTGTTCTGCTCAAGATTAAAGTGGTATGAGAACCACTCACCTAGTCTAAACCCATGTTATAACCACTCACCTTTAAATTCTGAAGACTATATTCATGAAACAAAGCTTACTTGTATTAGAGAGTTTTTTTTCTTATAGCTATATTCAAGCTATACCCAAATAGTCTCTAAATATTGGAAGTTTTGAAACAAGAATTGTATGACAGAGTTTCTTGTTCTTCAGCTACATTCCACCTATATTCCAGCCATACCAAATACCCTTAAATGAGAACAAATATCAATTGAAGGTAACCAATGACTGATATAATGAGCAGCAGGTTACACACAACCAAGTCATAAGCCTGAGTGGGATTGTCTAGGTGTATCAAATTCTGAAGACTCAATGGAAGTTAAACCAAACAAAGGGCTCAAATATGAATTATATTATGAGTAGATTGGCCCACTTGGTCACATGACAGCTTTGGCTTATAGCTATATTCCAGTTGATATAACAATCCAAGCACCTCCCTTGGCTAAAATTAGATTTGGGATATTCCAGCTGTGAACTCCGCACTGCGTGATAAGGAAGCGATAGGCATTGCTTTGTCCCTGTGACTGTGTTGGTTTAGAGTTACGTCCCATCTGTATCAATATGCCACACAACACAACACCACGACTGACTGACTGACTGAGTTTGGTTTTACGCCGCTTTTAGCAAGATTCCAGCAACACTAACACCACGAAGATTCATGAGTCCTGACTGTGTCAGAAGAGGAAATAAATCGTCTATGTCACAGAAGAACAAGTATTTAGTACTTTTGTCATATAATAAAACAATTATTGACTTCAGTTCAGTTGATCCAATGATTTATCGACCTTGGACATGTGATATTCACTGAGGCGAAGCTAGAAGTCAATAATTGTATAATAATACAGAAAAATATAACGATATTGTTAGGTGCTCAGAGTGAGTGAGTTGGGTTCAATCCTGCTTTGATCAGTATCCTAGTTATATCAGTTGCATCTTAAAGCCTGATGGAGATGAAAGGAAAATAGTTCTTACACACTTTATGACCAGTTTATACCCACCCCCCCTCCACCCTACCCCACCACCACAACATGGCATAAAGGCCAAGTAATTGCTAGTGTACTCCGGTACAGTGGCACATGTAAAATCACTTGCCCTGATAATTTTTCCACTATACTGGCTGATTTTCTTGGTGATTTTTTAAACAAACAACATAATTAACATTGGAATGTCAACTGGACACCAGTACAGCATGATATACAAATGTGCTTGCCTGACAGAAAAAAACACTGGACTCGGACGTCGGGCAATGGGTTATTTCCACCCCTGTGCTGCATGGGAATAAGGTCAAATCATCAAATTTGGTGGTACCAGATCACATATAATATTGTCAGACGTATTGACCTAAAAGATGTAGAATGTAGACATTACCAGCCATATTCAAAATTACAGAAGTATAGCCATTATCACAAACAGCCAGAAGTATGGAGGGTGGCCATGGTTCATTGTCGAACATACCTGCTACTGCTGAAAGACACTTGTTGGAGAGTTGACGACATGATCCCAAGTTCAACACCTTCAGTTTCTTCAAGCCTTAAAATAAATAATGAGTGAGGGTGTGAATTTTATGCAGATTTAATCAATATTGCAGCAATATAAGGGAGGTGGAAACCAGAAATGGGCTTCACACATTGTTCCCATGTGGGGAATTGTTTGGTTTGGTTTGGTTTGTTGTTTAACACCACACTCAGCAATATTCCAGCTATATGGTGGAGGTCTGTAAATAATCGAGTCTGGGACAGACAATCCAGTGATCAACAGCATGAGCATTGATCTACACAATTGGGATACGATGACGTGTCAACCAAGTGAGCGAGCCTGAAAATCTGATCCCGTTAGTCGCCTCTTAAGACTGTGGGAATCGAACCTGGGTCTTTGCCATGATAAGTTAACACTTTAACCACTAGGCTACCCCACCACCTCCAAAAACAAATAAATGGAGGCCTGTAAATAGTATATCAGTCCACCAAATATGTCCATCCAAAAGACCTGCATCCAAACTTCTTTGAAAGGCATGTGGTGGCATGTGGTCCTGTGCATAGCGCTCAGGTCCCGAATCAGTTGAAGTTAAGCAACATTGGGCGCCGAGGAGTCCTTGGATGGATGACCGTGTTTGGCAGCTTGACTCCTGAGAGTTTTAGGATTTCAGTCCTGCCCCACAACGAAGCACATGTGATACATCTGGTCTCACCTTAGGCAAGTGAGTTTGTTCAAACATGTCTCTGTTCACCCAGCAGAAAATGGGTACCCGGTGGGATAAATCATGTAACTAAAACCTTCTAGCGCCTCACAGGCAGCTTGGGTTATCTGGGGTAATAATGAACTGTCTGTTTGTATGTGCTTTCGAGCATGCACTTGGTGTATGGAATTTAGCGCTATAGAAGTACCCATTATTATATTATTATTATTATTTAGAAGTTGGAGCACTAGTGAAAGATAACAATATATGGTGCTTGATAAGGGTGTCAGAACCTACACCAAAACGTCACACTCACTGTAAAAAAAAAATATTCTTCCATCAATTTTTATCCTTCTTCACTTGCATAGATTTAGGGGTGGTGGGGTAGCCTAGCCTATATTTCAAACACACATAGATATTCCCACAGACCTGTAAGTGGCTTAAGTCCATTGTCAGTGAAGAGGGTGCAGGAGGAGAGACTTAGATGTATAAGGTTCACATGGTATCTGAAACAAAAACTCTTTCTTATTCATACTAGCAAAATTCTCCATATTCTAGTTTCAAAGATTCTACTGGATTTAATTTTATTGTATAACAGCTGAGCTTAAGTTACCTATATAATGATAGGAAACTCCATTAGAGTTTGTTAGCTTAATTAACTTAAGCTGTGTATAAAATAATAAAAAACTCTGTAGAGTTTGTTAGCTAATGCATTTATCATGTAACCATAGTATTGCTCTTAAGATATGAATAGCAAAGGTAAAATATATATAATAACAAACTCTGTATGGTTGTTAACTTATATATTGTATGATGTAATAATCATAGTACTGTGATGATAAAAGGAACTTAAGTAAAATTATACATAGCATGAAGCTATTTAGTATTGTTATAAGATAAGTAAAATCATTAGTTGACTTATCTTCTCCGGGGCTTGTCAGCTGTTGTCTAGAGGACCATGGGATCGAATGGTGTATACCTGAGACGTCCTAGGTGGTGATATCTCTCAGATAATGGTTTGCAACCACCATATGGGAGGTTTTCAGAAATAAACCCTCCATTGTACAATCACATTTGTGTAGAACAATTGTAAGAAGTTAGTACTTAATATGCTGCATGAACCACAACAAGCCTCACCCGAGCAGTGACACTTTCTAAAACCATACATTAATTATATCTGTTTTCAGAGGAAAGGTGGAAGTAAATTTCATACTGTTGTTACTAGGCTATTGTATTCTTCACAGCTGATTTTTGCAAAAACGTCTGTAACATACAAATTTGTTACATACTGGTAGAGGATGCAGAGAAAGTTCACTGACCTGACTGCATGTAACAGTTCGTTTGTGGTGTATGGGTAACTGTCAAACATCAACTTCCGCAGGTAACTGAAACACAGGCAGGAAGCGAAGGTAAGATTAAAAAGACAGAAAAATTGATATTTAGGGAGGTCCTGAAATAATGACAGCAGTAAAATTGATATTTTATACTTATCCTGACTCATGAGGTAAGCAAATAAGCATGAGTCAGAATAAGGAAAAATAGATAGAATTCCAGGATTAGGGAGGTCCTGAAATAATGACAGCAAAAGACGACAGGTACCAACATTTATCACAAGCAGATGGAGGGAGAGGGGGAAGGGGTAAGGAAATGAAAAAAATCAGCAGTTCTTATTTTCAAACCCAAAAATAAGTAATAAATCGGGGCCCCGTTCCTCAAAGCGATTGTAGCACTACGACAGTCATAAGTCAATGTTAAAGTATGGGAGTTACGATCATCTTACCGCTATGATTGTTTTGTGGAACGGACCCTGAACCTTAATAACGGCCTGGACATTCATTATACATACGGGGCTAGCCAAGAAAATAATGTTTCGAAAAATGTGGTGAGTGATTCATGAAGGATTTATACAGTCCTACGACAATCTCACCAACAATCCCAACATATACCATGGGGCAAATACTTGCTGGGGTGTACCAGGTTAGATCACTAAGAATGTTTCCATTATGTTTCTTACCATGGCACAAATACTTGGAGTGTTTTGGGTTTCAGCTTGCCCTCCTTCATCAGCTGTTGAAGCAGCTTCTGAGCCAATTCCTCTGCAATGCCTCCCAGAGACAGGAGGGGGTGACGTGGGTCACAGAGACGGCGGGAAACACGGTGGATACACAGGCTAAGTAATGATGACACCTCATGGGTAAGATGTTGACCTTGACACACCTCAGGGTCAAGGTTGGCAGGGCCTGGCTGTACGTATCGGTGGCGAGCTGCTTCCGCTGTTGATGAAAACATAAAAGGGAGGTAATGAACATACTGACATGACAAATTCTCGCACATTACCCTGTCAAAAGCAATTTCTATTCTATACAAGCCAGAATTATCACATGATGGCTGGTCTACTAATATGTACTGCAGAATCACCTGCTAGTTGGGCTGCTGGTCTGCTGTGATGTTCCCTTTCATCCACTGGACGTCCGTCAGCCACTAGCATCTGACCAACTCCTCCAAACGCCTGTTGTCTCATATGATGGTGACCTATAATGAGGAACACAGACTGAGCTTCCACATTCCATGAGATTACAAAATATAGGTCTCCTCATGTGGGTGTTTTGTTTTGTGTGAGTGAGTGAGTGAGTGAGTGAGTGTGTCTGTGTGTGTGTCTGTCTGTGTGTGTTTTCTTTTTTTTAACCCATGCTTGCCATAAGAGGTAGACTTGGTTGACACATGTCATTGTATCCCATTTTTGTAGATTGATGCTCATACTGTTGATCATTGGATTGTCTGGTCTAGACTCCATTATTTACAGACCGCCACCATATAGCTGAAATATTGCTCAGAGTAGCGTTAAACAACAAACCAACCAACTTCTAGTCATATCCCTTACATGACAAACATCAGTCGGTAACAACATGCACCATCTTGTAACGTCTCTTGGCATGACACCACCAGGGCTTGAACCGCTGACCTGAAGCTCTTCAGGCAGATCCTCTATCTACTAGACCACAGAGGCAGGCTCAGAAAGTGTATCCATGCATGGAAAAACACAGGTCTAAACAAGAGACTTGTACATACCTCCCATTCTTGGCATCCCTCCCATACCACCGAGAATGTTCCCCATGATGTCTTCATCCTCTTCTTCATCTTCATCCTCTTCATCTACACCCATAGCTTCAACATATAAAATAACCACAATAACGATCATAACAGAAAATGCCTTCATTAGTTGACAGAAGTCTGTCTACAGACATGATTACTGTAATGATCCAGTTGAGGTCCATTCAAATGAAGTGTAAGCTCAAATAAACTGCATAAATCATCATGAATGTGGCCTTGATTTCTAGGTAATACAAGTTACCTCCCTTAACCTTCTGTCAGTGTTTCATAGGTTGTGGTCCTGTGCATAGACTTACTGAGTTTGGTTTTACGCTGCTTTTAGCAATATTCCAGCAACATCACGGCGGGGAACACTAGAAATGGGCTTCACACATTGTACCCTTGTGGGGATTCGAACCCGGGTCTTCGGCGTGACGAGCCAACGCTTTAACCACTAGGCTACCCCACAGCCCCCCTGTGCATAGAGCTCAGTTCACAAATCAGTTGAACTTAAGCAACATTGCGGGCAGAGAGTCCTCGGATGGGTGATCGTGTTTGACAGCTTGACTCCTGAGAGTTTCTCTGACTTCAGTCCTGCCCACAACGATGCACATGTGACACATGTGGTCTCACCTTAGGCAAGTGAGTTTGGTCAAAATTACCTCTGTTCACCCAGCAGAAAATGGGTACCCAGTGGGATAAGTCATGTGACCATAACCTTCTAGCGCCTCAAAGGCAGCTTGGGTTATCCGAGGTAATAATGATCAGATTGTGTGCTAGCACTTTGAGCAGGTGCCTTGTACATGGAAAAGACGCATTATAAACTCATGATTATTATTATTATTATTATTATAGATTTACCAAAGTGCCAACACTGGAGATTTTGACAAAGCATGCTTCTGCAACACAAAGACTTGTGAAGCTTAATATATTCCAGTTACCTGCCCCTTGTTCCTCCTCATTATTCATTCTCTGGCCTCGACCCCATCTGTAGGCAGGGTTCTGGAGGATATCTGGCATGTGGGGTGGGACAAGAGGAGGGACAGGAGGCGGATCTTCATCTTCCATGGCTTCCTCTTCCTCAGGAACTGCATCTGCAGCAGCATTTGCATCCCCAACTACTTCTGGTGGGTTCACTGATGGTTGGTCTGTATAATATAATGTAAGATTTTCTACCTCGGAAATTTTCTTCAGCAACTTATGGTGGTTGTAAGAAGCGATTGCCTTCATTGATGCATTGTACATCAATGCTCATGATGTCCATCACTGGATAGCCTGGCCCAGACTCCATTATTTATTGACTGTTGTCTTATTGCTGGAATATTGCTTCAGTGTAAAACAAACAAAGTGAGTATAGTTTTACGTCATTTCTAACAATATTCCAGCAATATCACAGACGTGGACACCAGAAATTGGCTTCACACATTGTACCCATGTGGGGAATCAGACCCAGATCTTCAGCATGATGAACGAACACTTTAACCACTTGGCTACCCCACCACCCCAAACAACAATGAATCTAGCTCTGACTGAAAGGCAGATTACAAATGAATATCAAAATAGAATAAGTGTGAATATGAAATTATAAATCTTAACTATATTCATTGTTGATGGCAAAACTTTTCCGGTACATGAATGAATATCAAATGACCTGAATTGTAAATCCTACGAAAAATACTGTTTAAAAGTTTGTAGTGTATGAATAACAGCACAGTTGTGCCGTTTGAGACTGACATCCAAAAATCGAGGGAAAAACAAAGCGCCTTTGAGCAGGTAATCTGGATATTGGCTCTATATAAATATATGTAAATAAATAAATAAAACTCACCGATGACATCGTTAGCCTGTTCAGTTTGTGACACCGTCTGTGAGGCAGGAGGGCTTCTACTCTGCAGCACCAGTGACCCTGTAGGGGTCAGACCCAACTCCATCAAGCTATTCCTCTGCTCTTCTTGACTGAATTCTCGACGAGGAAATGGCTGTACAGATAAAGAGCTGTTAACAATATCTACACAATGTAAACATTGGCTCAAAAGCAAAACATGGATAATTTGTTTCTACAAGTGATGGAGTAATGCAGGTCTCATAGACGTGTACCACTTTTGTGAAACCATTGGCTTCACGTATATATTTCACATATTTCAGGAAAGTTTATGAACAGAATTATTAGCACAGTTGTAGTGTTTAGACCATTTTGTGGTATGGACCCTATCCAAATCCAGTGACTGTTGGACTTTGAACAGCATTTCAGTTGTATCCCATCATGGTGCCTAATGTGTGTGGAAATCCCAGAGATGAAGGTCTCAGGACTGACTGACTGAGTTTGGTTTTACGCTGCTTTTAGCAATATTCCAGCAACATCACGGTGGGGGACACCAGAAATGGGCTTCACACATTGTACCCATGTGGGGATTCAAACCCGGGTCTTCGGCGTGACGAGCCAACGCTTTACCCACTAGGCTACCCCACCGCCCTGAAGGTCTCAGGAAGCATTAACCTCTTGGTAGGTCACAGAGAAAGGGTAATGGCGTAATTCATATTTTGGCTGACTCTTAATGATGGCTGCAGTGATGCAGTTCTGACATGCTTTTGTTTGTTTGTTGTTTAATGCCGCACTCAGCAAAATTCCAGCTATACTGCCGCCAGGCTGTGAGCAGTGATCAACAGCATGAACATCGATCAACGCAAATGGGATACGATGACGTCTCAAACTAGTCCGTGAGCCTGACCTCCAGACCCCGTTAGTCGCCTCTTATGACATGCATGGGTTGCTGAAAACCAATTCTAACACGCATCTTAACGTATGATTAATGACATGCACTGCAAAATACAGACCTGTATAAAAGTCATGTTGGTCATGCTTTTGTTCTTGCTGTACACAAAGTCCCACACTGTGTTGAGGGTGTCGCTCGGCTGGAAGGACTGACGCTGGACTCGACCGTCGGGGAATCGAATCTGAAACAAATTCGTGCCAACAAATCATGAACATTGTGGGTTAACAACACACTTTGACACAACACATGACATGAAATACCTCGTTAGGATGAGTAAGCAACAATAACTCGGTGCGTCTAGTGGCTGCAAGAGTTGTATACTCCCCAGGGAGTTGAGATTGATAATGCGATGTGCCGTTGAGATTGACATCCAATGGTCGAGGGAAAAAATACCAGCGCCTTGAGCATGCACTAGTGCGTGGATATGTGCGCTATATAAATATCCTATAATAATAATAAATACTTGACATTTGCTATACTGTTGGACTCTGTTGGACAACCCTACCAGAACATACCAAGAAGTTACTCTTGTCGAAGCACAGGATATCATAATTCACTACACATTGAATGAATGACTACTCCTATTCAAACCCACAATCTTCAGCTACAAAGGGAAGAAAACAGAATTCACGAAGGACAAGTTATTCTCTTGGTTTAAATTTTCTGTTAATTTTAACCATATAATGGTAAAAAACTAAAATGTAATTTTCTGAATAAAATTGATATTTTATACTTATCCTGACTCATGCTTATTGCTTGTCTCCTTCCTCTTGCGAACGTTAGTGGAACACTTGTATCTTCTATTGAAGCTCCCTTCAATAAAAACATACGTAAAATCACTAATTCCCCAGTTCTCCCAGTAGGTTTGAAGGCGTCCACCCACTTGTGAAGGTTGTACAGGAACGGCTGGGGGTGGAAGACTACAGGCGTTCCGAACCCCTCTTTCATCGTCTCTGATCCCTGGCGCCTCTGGGTGCCCTGCCTCGTCCAGGTCGTTCTCTATAGTTGCTGGCTGGGCGAAGAAAAGAGTCTGGAGGTGTTCATTTTCTTGTCTCTTGCCTTCTGGATGCCTGGGAACTTCGACTTGCTCGAGTAGCGCTGGGACGTCTGCCTGATGACACTGGCTAGGGTATCGATGGACTTTATCATGAGGACCTCTCTGGAGTCTTTGGTAACTTCTTTGGCGACGTCGTCAAAGATGGATGACGTCGACCATGGGGCTGTGTACAGCGACTTCGTGAAGCGTTCACTCCAGTTGCAGGATGCTAGTAGACCTTGTCGCCTCGCCAACGTCAACCCTGCTGAGATGGATGATAGATGGTCCGTCATAAACTGTTGGTCCTTCTTCTGCATGAGTAGAGCAGAGTAGATCATCCGGTCCTCCTCTGCGGTAGAGTCCTTGAACTTGGCGATGAGCGTCTCGTTCACTGCCCTGGATCTATTCAGGCCGAAGAACATCCTTCTGGTCATAGTCTCTATCTGCGCCAGCTTTTTGTCGTCAATCTTGTAAGACCTGGTCCGGGCGGCGTTGATGACCTTGTAGTTATCATCGATGTCCTGCGCCTCCATGAAGGGGTCCATATTGTGTAGAGAGAACTTCTAAGCGTTGAACTGTGGAATATTCGGCGCCTGAGATTTCGTTGCCTTCCGGAAGGCTGCGTCCAAGTTCTCTGGAACCTCTGAGATGGGATCAATTGGCGGTAGAGTGATTGTGTCGACATCATCGTCTTTCATCAGGTACATGAGTGCTGCATTCTCTTCCTTAGAGGGTGACGCTAACTCAAGTCCGTTGGCCATCCAGTATCTGATCTCTGCGTCGGAGAAGATAATACCGCCATCGTCCTCTGTTTCAGGGGCGCTGATCGGAGATCGTTGAACATCCTCCGCTGGGGATCTGTGTGGAGACCTGCGTGGAGACCTGCATGGAGACGTGCGTGTAGACCTTCTTGGAGACTTGCGCGGAGACCTGTGTGGAGACCTGTGTTGAGACCTGCGCGGAGACCTTCGCGGAGACCTGCGTGGAGATGAGCCTGTAGAGCTGCGCCTGTAGGGCCATCTGCGTGGAGACCTGCGTGGAGGTGAGCGTCTCTTGGTTCGTGAATCGGCCTCGGCGAATCCCTCGACGATCTGTGAGATGTTGATGACGTCCTTGAGGCTGTCTCCGAAGACCTTCGCGAAGGCTGTTCATCTGCGTCGTCCATGGGAGGCCTCTCCAATGCGTCGTCGGCGGAGGGTCCTTTGTGCAGGTCCGGGTCCTCTCTGCGGGTGGTGTCCAAGGCTGGTTGTCGATCTCTTTCCTGCGCGAAGCGCCTTTCCATCATTTCCATGATCTGTTGTGAGAACTGCTGCATGAAGGCCCTGGGGTTGAATGTCTGTGGTGATAGATGAGCTGCCCTCTCTGCGTTGGTAGCGATATGGTCCAGGGATCGCTCATCTGCCGTCAGTGTAGATACCTCGGACTGCGTAGATAACTGCGCTGATGTTACCGTTGCTGAAGCCTGCTTCTTCTTTGGGTGATGTATCTCCGGGATGAGGAGCAGCGGCTCATCATAGTTCTCTTTCCTCCATCGGAACAATCTCGGCCAAGAAAGTCCTAGTTGTCTGCGCAGACGTCCCCGTAGAGCTGCCCGTCGTCTTAGGGGTGCGTGGCCGTCTCTGCGTAGAGGATGGCTTCTTCTTCTTCGTCTGCGATGAAGGGATGTTCGAAGTGGCAGCCCTCTTCTGCGAGGTGGCGGACAACGTCCCACGCCCATCCTCCGAGGACATCCCGGCGGATCACTGGAGGGAAGAGGGTCATCTGACATCAGTTGACATGTGAGGGACTCAGCTGGCTTATCCATGACTTGAACAAGTCGCCTGGATCTGTCTTTTGCACGCCTAAGTACGCAAAAAATATATTAATTAAATTGAAAAGTGGTTAAATGCTGACAAAGGTTGCAGCAAGAGCTGGAAGTACATGGTGTTGTGCAGCTAGGGCACAATAAATGCGGCTCTGCAGCAGCGAACCTAAACCTACAGCGAGAACAGGTTTTCATGAAATGTAAACAACTGAACAAACACGGACAAAACCGTGAATAAACAGTGAAATTTACGAATTAATTTCAAACCATATTGTTGAAGGATACTCCCTAAACCCCTATAAAGTTAATGTATAGGGTAATAACTAATAAATGAAAGGATATAGTGCCGAATAGAAGACACAGGCGCTCTCCCAGAGTGAAGCATGTGAAGCATGTGGGAGCGGTGGCGCCACTTTTCCCGCCAAAACGGCCAGAGGGATAACTCATGGTGAGTAGTGATTTTACGTATGTTTTTATTGAAGGGAGCTTCAATAGAAGATACAAGTGTTCCACTAACGTTCGCAAGAGGAAGGAGACAAGCAATAAGCATGAGTCAGGATAAGGAAAAATTATATAAATAGAAGAAAATCGGTCACAAATAATTTATTTACTCTGACTCTGTCATGTAATATTTGCATGAAAGTCATACCTTAATTAATGGATCATCAGGACATACCCCCATATTGCCTTTGTGGGTAGAGGTATTACACACAAAAATGAGGTAACTTAGTGAACACAAGTCTGCTGATACAGTCCAGTAACGAAAGAGCAGGTAAGTGCTAAACAACTTGTGTTCCTAAACGTTCCAACAAAAGAACATATATACCTGGAGCGTGCATTTGTCAGCTGGTTTGGCCTCTGGACTTGTGGCACTTCCTGTGGCACTTCCTGTGGCACTCCCTGTGGTGCTCTCTGTTGCAGCCTTCTTGTTGGGAGACTCACACTCAGCAGCATTCTCTGATGATGGGCCATGAACTCTCATGACCTTCGCCTTGTCCCGATCCTCAGCAATCTGTTGTAGGATTCTGGCACGCTCCTGGAGAGAGAAAGTGAGAGAGTGACTTGAGATTTCTGGAGGCAGGGCTCCAGATAACTTTAGGGGGTGTGAGTGTACTTACACATCATATTGCAAGTGGAGGTGTACTGAGAATTTTGAAGGAGTACTGACATGTTTTTGTGTAAGCGAGTTGATGTGGTTTGTCTGGATGATTCATCGTTCACTATTTCCTACCATGTGTTTGTATTTGAAGACGCGTGAGAAATAACTGAGCGACTGTGTGATGCGCGAAATGTCAGGTCCGACTGGATATAAATAGGAACAGTGTAGTTTTTAACCAATTGAAAAACAAGTATTTATCCGAAATAGATTTCCAACTGCACGATAAGAACGGAAATTAAATGTTAGACGTACGAAGGTATTTATGTGCGTATCCGATACGTTTGAAATCTTACATTATGTCGACTTAATTGATTTTGAGGTGTACATTATGCCTGTATGCCCCTTATCTGTAGCCCTGTGGAGGTACTGAGTATTTGATGCCAGTGCTTTCATGTAGAACCTGAAGCCTCGAGGATTTAAGTGTCAAAATATTATATGATAAGTTTTATCATTATTTGTATCATTTAAACCCAAACCTACACAAGACACAGAAATTCCCTTCAAAACTGATTGGTAGAATGGTGGAACTATGGAAGTGATTTCCTCACACAGTCATCTCCACTGTATCCATGACAACAAATTTGTGTCAACTGACCTTGTTATAATATTTGCTTTGGTTGGATCTGCATGTATAATCAGCATGAGTCACTGTCATGCACAGTAGTTTGTAATATATTACAAAATCCATCATACACAAAACACTGTATCAAAATATATTGCAATACAATGATTTTGGCCACTCTACAGCCATACTACCAAACTTCCATCATGTCAAACAATGCCTCACACCACACGCAGACTGTAGCGCAAATATGGCTGTGCAACAGAGAGGAAAATGACCATTCTTTCTATATGCGAGCGAAGCGAGCAAAAGTTGGCAACATACTTCCCTCGCTTCAGTTCGAAAAATATTTTTTTAAATATCAAAATAAAATACAGCCACCATCAAAGGTAGACACCCATTTCCTCACAGGGTTGTGCTCTCAGATTTCCAACCTCATATATAATAATTAGTCACGTACAATATATTTAATTCAACATTTCTAGCGCACTCGTGGCATGTCTTCGCCTCCATTACCCCTGCCAGCTTCCCGTTCACCCGGAATGAAGGAACAAGAATAAGCAGAAATTAAAAATAAATATCATGTTGACTAATTTTACTGTTGGAAATTATTCTTCTTATCTGTCGTCGTTATTGTTAGAATTTTTGTAACGTTTGTTCTACAAAAAAATAACACTTCTGGCGCAGTGGGCGAATGAAGCAGGGGAGGTAACTCCGCAAGTATTCCATATGGTGGACATGTAATTCAACAAGTATATTTAGATTTAACTCCCCTGTTCCTTCACTCTGTTGAACTGGAAGCTGGCAGGGGTAATGGCTAACAGGATCAGGTGTAAAGGCTCACTGATTTGATTGACACATGTCATCATGTCCCAAATGCATAGATCGATGCACTTGATGTTGGTAACTGGATTGACTGGTACAGACCGCCGCGATATAACTGGAATATTGCTGAGGGGGGGCGTTAAACTACCAAACAACCCCCTTCACACCCATAAGATCTTGAACATGTCCAAGAATGTGAATGATTGGAAAAATATAAAAACATAGCAACTGATAACAAAATCCAAACTGGCTCCCAAAACAAACAACATTGATAAATAGTCACATCTACCTGTTTTGCTTTCATCTTTTCTTCTCTTGCTTGCTTCTGTGCTTCTTCTCTCACTTTTTCTTCGAACTTGCTCTTGACCTTCCTCTGCTGTGACGAGAGATGGAGGCGGCTAACCACCAGATCCTCAGCTTCCTTATCACTGGCTGACGAGGATGATTCCTGGCCAGTTGATTCAGGCTTCGCGGAAGGTTCGGCTAGAGAAACGGGGTTCACAAAGGGATTTGATGAGGCTGCAAGACCTGTAGCATTGGAATCCTGAAAAGGAAGTGATAGGGGACGAATTTATTTAATTGTTCGTTTGTTCTTTCATAAATTCTAAGACTTGCTTTTCACAATATTTTAGATAGATGGTAGGTGAGAATAATGAGAAATTAGTGTGATCCAACTTAATGATTATTGTCGGACCGATGAATTGCAAATGTTATCATTGAACAAAATTGCCACATAAATATAAATAGTACACATGTTTATCATTTACTAATACCCAACAGCTTTCTTATATTTGAAAATTTTCCGGACTCCACCAAAAAAGATCTTTAAGAAACTATCATTAAAATTTTGACACAGTTCACTATTTGTTACGAGGGAGGAGTGCAGAGTAAGGGACAGCCAGGTGTGCGAGAAAGGATGGAGACGGCACAGCACAGGCTAATGAATCAATAACTTGGTGGGCACTTGTGCACGTGCTTCTCTAACACCTGGTTGTCCCTTTCTCTGCGTTTCTGACTCAAACGGACTGTAATTCCTAATGGTGGATACAGTGTCGGTGTAAAGGGCATGATCATGATCCAAACAAACAGTGAGTGAGTGAGTGAGTGAGTTTAGTTTTATGGCGCACTCAGCAATATTCCAGCTATATGGCAGCTGTCTGTAAATAATCGAGTCTGGACCAACCAATCCAGTGATCTATGCAATTGGGATTCGAGTTCATGTGATGATATGTGTCAACCAAGTCAGCGAGCCTGACCACCCGATCCCGTTAGTCACCTCTTACGATAAGCATACGTTAATGATCAATTCTAACCCGGATATTCACAGGTCCGAACAAAAACAGCCTACCATGATCATGTCTGACTGAGTTTGGTTTAACGCCGCTTTTAGCAATATTCCAGCAACATCACGGCGGGACCATGATCATGTAATTCACACACAATATCTGATACTCTAAACATAAAGGGGCTGTCTTTGTCATCTATTTACATCGTACAATATTTCACGCACACTGCTGTAACAGTTATTATAACCTTTTTCTTATAAAGAAATTCTGTTTCAGAGATATGTTCATAAGATCATATTTATCCATCATGTTCAGAAACATTTTGTTAACAGATAAAAATGATACCACCACCATGTCAATGACGAACTTTATATCAAATCATATTGATTGTATTATGACAAGCTTTTTAATAACACATAAATACATGGAGATCTTGTGCTATTACTTGAATGAAAATGTTACAGTACGACCCTTCATGGGTGACCTTAGCAGGGTCAAGGTTACTTAAAAACAAACAAAACACATTCTGTTGATTATGTATCTGAATACTTGTTTCTCTAGACAAGCATAACCAGTTGAAGTTCCCACCTTTGACAACTTCAGAGTTGGTTGGTCAGTCACTTTGGTCATTCCAGGTTTGCCAGCAATTATCCTGAAATTCAACAACATCCATGAAAATAACTGTAGGCAGCCATCATGTGAGTAGTGCTGTGGGGTGAGGTGGGCGAGCTGGCTAAGGTGGCAGGCTAGTGATCCAGCGAGGTTGAGGTGCCGGGATAGAGCCCACCTGTGACCGGGCGTAAAAACCTTGGAGTCAGCTTTGTGTGCAGACTCTTTCAGTGTTGTCACAACCCCTAGTGTACAGTACACAACCCTGTGCAGTTAAAAGAACCCATGAATCTGTTGGTAAATGACCAGATAGTGGCCACATGAATATGTGCAAACACCTAGTTGCGGGTACAGCAACGTGCAGTAACTTGGACAAAGTACAGTGACTACGTGTCCCAGTCACTCAGCTGTGAATGGGTACCTCAAAAGGATGGGAAAGTCACATTAACTCAGTGCGCCTAGTGGCTGCAAGAATTGTATGCTCCCCGGTTGAGTTGAGATTGATAACATGATGTGCTGCTGAGATTGACATCCATTGATCGAGGGAAAAAAACAGAGAAGCGTTTTGAGCATGCATGTGGGATGGACTATAGTGCTATATAAATACCCATATGAATAAATAAATGTAATCGTAAACCCCACAACCAAACTCATGTGAGTAATAACACGACACAATCATAATATTGTGCAAACGAAACAGGCACCTATTAATGATAGGCTCAAAATGATCAAGGATACTTCCTGTTGAATATGTTGCAGTTTTACAAGTCAGGAAACTGCATCTTTGTTTATGTGTTATTTTAACAAACATAACAATGAGCAACATACTTTCTACAGTTCTAATGTTATATTTTTTTATGAATATTGATTAATCTCCTGAGCAAGATCAATCGACTGACAGATTATTAAATCAATCGCTCTAGCACTAATGCTGAGTGAACTTGGGAATCAAACCCATAAAAAAAAATCATTGGTCTCTGGCATGCCTAGGGGATGCAACTCTGCTTGCTTGTAAAATGTTTACATGTATGATTTTGCATGATATGATTAAATGTACAATCAAAATTCATCTTAAAATAATGCAGAGTTTTGCACTGCCGTTACCATGGTAACACCTACCATTCCACAGCTTCTTGGACTGAGATTTTCCCATACTGTACAGCATCTTGGCAGTCAGGCAGCTCAAACCCCATGGCCATGAGCTGGACTATCATGTCATCCATCGTCTGAAATGGCATCAATATGTCAGAGCTTGAGATAAGCTGCTCATTAACATAAAAGGCAAATAATTATATAACCTAATAAAATATATAATCCAAGTATGTTTGGCACATAGGTCACGATCCAAAATGTCATGATACGCATGTTCCAGTCAAAACTAAATATCTTGGAGCATGTTCCAAAGGAAAATCTAGCACTTGACATATGTTTACAGTAGAGGTGTGACGATACAAAAATTTCACAATACGATAGGTATCTTGATATCTTGGAACTGTATGATTCAATTCGATGCATATCACAATATGGTATCATTAGTTATTTTCTTCAAAAAACAATGCCGAAGACCCGGGTTCGATTCCCCACATGGGCACAATGTGTGAAGCCCATTTCTGGTGTTCCCCCGCCGTGATATTGCTGGAATATTGCTAAAAGCGGCGTAAAACTAAACTCACTCAGTCAGTCAGTCTTCAAAAAACGATATTATAATAGCAACTAACAGTGTAAATTTTGACAGAACTGTCAATTTCTAGTGAAAATTAACAATTTTAAGGTCAACGATACATTTCACGATACAAAAAAGGTATCAATGTATTTATCATCAGAAAAGTATCATGATTATCGATACTAGTTCCTGTGCAATTTTTCTAATAGTGAACTTGACATTTATTTTGCGACATTTGAAAGATAAAACATTTGGCCCGGGAGAGTCACTAAACAATCAGTAAGCAGGGCTTCAGATAATTTTTCAACATCAGGAGTACGTACTCCTTATTTTTTCAATACAGGAGTACTGAAAACCTTAAGCGTACATTTAGAGTACTGAATGGGATTTAATGGAGTATCAGTAATCTTGTGTTTCGTTTCATATATGCACCACAACATTGCAATAATCAATAAAACAATACATTTTCAGTAGATACGTCTATAAAGGATTCTAAGACCGTACACCATTGCTGTGGTGCGTATCTGCTACGTTTTCTAAATTATTTCCTACCGTATCGTGCTTATTTTATATCCGTACATACGCCGATACGACCCTTATCTGGAGCCCTGAGTAAGTATTGTAGCAAGTTATCATCTTGTTCCAACACTTATTTATCGAATTGTCCCAGGACTAGTCATATGTAACAATGTCACCTTTATTTGCTACAAGCCAATAGTATAACACACAGCATAATTACACCATGTCTTTTACTTCTTGTTCTCATCCATCATACATTACACAGTAAATATTACATGGTCTTGGAAAATAAAGACGATTAATGGTGTTTTGTATCTCTGATTCTATTATTCAGGATGCTTTGATGGTAAATGACAAAAAGTGATTTGGGCTCACTTGTTTGTACCAAGAGTAAAACATTACCGACAATGCATTTGGTCATGTTGTTAAAATGGCATTTACTTTTGTGGCTAGTTTTACCTGTTGGCTGATTTCTACAATGGGAGATTTTGAACAGTATAGTGAACAATGGTGAATATGCAACAGGCAAATTGGCCAATGGAAACAGAGACTCAGAGAGATACAGGTCGGTTAATTTTGCAGGATGTTGACAGATTATTAATTTAATATTATCGAACATGTCTTCAAATTATATTTCACGTGTGATACAGATATTGAAGAAATCCCTTCGAACAGTAACAATGATAACAATGCCTTACAGCAATATTTGTCTTTGGGAAAGTTATCTAGATTCATACGTGGACATGATGTTTATCATTATTTCTGTTATGAGCGAGTCCGAAGGACTGGAAATCGGTGATGCGGAAATAAACTTGGATATCAATTCATGCAAATTAATCGGTGAAAGTTAATTTGGTCACATAATATGTTAGGACTGGCGTATACATCTCGCTCTCAGCTCTGCAAGAGGAGTCCATCTTATTTCACAATCTAGTGAATCTAGATCTAGTTGTAAATGCAAGTGAGCCAAATGACTTATCTAAATGAGCATATTTTGAAAGGAATGAGTAAAGATCTTGCAGTGCAAGGCAACCGAACACAAAGCGTCTCAACAAGAGCATTCAAATTTCATGACACAAGTCTAGATCTGCGATGCCAAACAATGTTTTGATCCTCAGCTGAACTCTTGTTTACCTGTGTCGCCATTTTTGGTAGGACCAAGGAGGAATTCTAGTGGATAAAAGATGAATTTCGGATACAAGCATTGAAATATCCACTTAAAGATATTCATATTAAAATGATTACTCTACGTGCTTTATTACATTTTTATATAATATTCTATGCAAATATATCCTTATTTCGTTAAGATTTCTGCGCTAAACGAATAAATATTTTATCGAGTATAATGAGCTACCAGTATTACAAAACTAGCCATTTACAAACACGAATTATGATTTTAGGTAGTAAAAGAATATCGAAATCCATATGTCGTAGTTCAAATCGAGATTTATTATTTCTCCCATTACCATGATTACGTTTTGACTTGAATGAATGCCGGATCCGATGTAATGAGAAATGAAAGCTGCTCCGTGGCTGCTCATTGTACATATATATTATATGACTCTTCAACCAGTTGTTATCTTCAGCCAGTTAACAGTTCAGTGTATGTCCAACCACGAACTAGCCAAGTACTGCGTTCCTGTTGGCTGTCTCCGAGACACCAAGATAATAAAGTAAGAATGCGTCAAATTCATGCATGGAATATTCAAATGACAGAGTGTGATGACGTAATTCATTCGCCCAAGACATACTGTTTGTTTTCAAAGAGTAGATTTGGTCAATTCAAGGGTCAGAAAACATTGGAATTCGGACTGGGCAGATATCGGATTAAACAGAGTTTTTAATGATTCTAGGGGACATTGGCGACCGAGTCGTCTCAGGTGTCATAATTCACCTTGCAGAATTGCACCCCTTGGGCAAACAAGGAGCCGATATGATCGTGGGTTCGAACCCGGGATCCACCCGATTACGTTTCAAGGATTGTGAGCACCATGCCTGTGCTAAACGTCTCAGATATCCGTCATACCGGGTTTTCTTCCACATCCAACCAACGCGCCGTGACAAAACTGGAAAACAGTTCAGAGCGGCGTTTTATCTAACTCACCCATTCTCTCAATCCAGTTATCTGAACAAGAGAAAGTAATACTTCTATTATTAAGACAACTGGCCTTGAAACAATAAACAAATTGATTGATTGAAAATAATACTTGAACATCGTATATTCAAACATACCCACAAATCTGAAAACACATAATGTTTATTTCATAAATGGCAAAGGTATAAAAGCGAGATGAGAATTACATGGACATGAGCTGTGCTTATCCGAACAAACTAAAGTAACGCCAACTTTGCCAAATGTTTGAATCGCTCGTAAAATGACATCTATTCTTTATCCACAAAGATGTTTGACGTTGTCCGTCGCTGTCGTGATTCCAAGATAATCAGCATGTCCATCGCGATATTGGATGACCTCTGTATGAACCAGTGTAGCCTATTCAGTGTATTCATATGAACGATCATGTAAAGTTAGCCCACATGATCAGTTAGAATGGTTATGTTGATATCGACATTTATGATAAACCGAACCAACGCTTTTGAGTATGTATTTTACTACGCTTTAAGCATCATCCCAGCAATGGCAGGGACAAGACTGACTGATTGACGGAATAAAATTACAAGGGTCGGTCGGGCGATGAGAATCACAAAAAATAAAATGTTGCCCTAACAGGCGACTAACGGGATGAGGTCTGTAGGTCTTTATTTAAGTCATGAGAAACGCGGATAGAAGTCGTTATACAAGTACAGTGCTATGCTGATGTGAATTCGAAATCCTTTCGACATCTGATTGGTTCCCTGAGTACGTAGCGCCAGTGCTCCATAAGTATGTAGGTCCCGTACCCATAATTAATTATAAATACGTGAAAGACCTTGAGTCAAACTGTTTTCTTTTCTGTACGTATACGTAGGTGTAGAAAGTTCAAATGAGTGATAAAATAATTCTCTTGCATGCGACCGCTCATATTTCGATGTTTTCTTGAACTGTACCCTTTTCAACAATTTAAACCAAACGCCTTTACACTTTATAAGTGAGACGTAATACGAATGCAGTGAAAAGTCTGGTGACAACTTTCAACCCCCGGTGAGGTGAGGTGAAATTGGGTTTAACGTCGTGCTTGAGAATATTTCACTCATATGACGACGTGCATGCGTGTGTATGTGTATGTGCGGCTGCTTGTACTAGCCCAGACTTAAGCTGGTTTTATAGTGCTAGCCCACTGATATACCATGCCGCAGTGAAGCATGAATAACCCACTCAGACACATTATACTGACTCTGAGCCGACCAGTCCTTGTTGTACCCATAAATGCCGAGCGCCAGGCAGGGACCAACAAGTACCATATTTTAACGTCTTTTGGTATGACGCGGTCGGGGATCGAACCCGTGACCTTCCGCTATCCGGGCGGACGCTCTAACCACTACACCACGGAGGCGGTCTTCAACCCCAGGGCCACATGCCAATAATATCATTCTTTTTACAGCGCACCTGCCAAGATATCCACCAAGAGCTCTGTACCCTTGTCGACATGCTATGGGAAAAGTACATGGCTCTTTTCTAACATCAATCCAACAACGTCAGCATCAGAGAATATATTTGAATGCTTTTTCTTGCGAAGTCTTTAGGTTTTGACAGTGATGAAGGATTGCATTTAGAGGACACGAATATGAGCTCCTTGAAATTAGCTGTTTCTCAGTATTGTCACGACAAAGATGAAGAAGTGAAAACGGGGGCATCATACACAGACTGAACCTTCGACCTCCTGTCAATCAGCTTGTCAAATTAAACCCTTCGGTTAATAGTGAAACCTTCCCCCATGAAGGTCCAGAGTTTGAAATGGAAACGTGAGATGCGACTAGCATGCGTATATCGATGCTTGTGTGGTCAGTCACTGGATTTTCTGGCCTAGACCATTATTTTAAGACCACCGTCATACAGCTGGAATATAGCTGATTGTGGCAATCCTAGATATCTTCAAAAATAATTTTTTGAAAAATATATGCAGTAAATATGATGTTTCTTTTGTTTTCAAAGGCAACTGATTCGTTCATGATATTCGTTCTCTTCATCTTTTTGCAAGAAAGTATCCGCACTGAGCAGACTGTCTGAGCTGCCGGAGGTAGGAGGGGAGACTGAAACATTATGAGCCTCACTCTCTTGGACTGTTTCGACGAAGTTGCTAATTATGTTTCAAACATTAGACGGATCCACAGATTTCTGACACCATGTCCCACTGACATCCATCCCACTGGTGGAGATGGTATCGTGGCGTGAAACGTCCCCCACGGCAGCAACGACTTCATCCGTATTTGCATAACGCTCGTCTCACGTGGCAGTAGATGAAGGTCGGTGTTGGTGAGTGGTAGTAATACCTACCACTGTTAAGGCTTACGGGGGCGGTGGGGTAGCTTAATGGTTAAAGCGTTGGCTCGTCACGCCGAAGACCCGGGTTCGAATCCCCACATGGGTACATGGTGTACCTGGTGTCCCCCGCCGTGATGTTGCTGGAATATTGCTAAAAGCGGCGTAAAACCAAACTCAGTCAGTCAGTCAGTCAGTCAGTTAAGGCTTACGGAATTGCGATTTAGAGTTATCTGTTCTTGATTGTTTTCACTCACTTCATCGTTCGAGAAGTTTCGTGATGTCGATATCAAATGTCATGTTACTTATTGCTGCTGCAACTTGTATTATCAGTTGTATTGTCTTTTGTGAATGGAAATCTCAACATGTGTGTTTCAATTGAAATTCCTATTTAATCATTGGCCTTGTGGTGGTATTTAGTCCGGCGAGACCCAGTGTTCCGTGTTAGAATTCAATTTGGAAATCACCTGGTAACAGAAATAAATTTGTCTCGCCCGAAATATGAATATATTTTTGTGTAAGGTCATAATTTGACAGCAAATTCTTTTCGGTTGTAAATGTGATCGCGTATGTCCGACTCAATCTACCCGTTTCTTCATGCGGGGTAAACGCAAAAGCAGTATAAATGTACTGTGGAATTGATCAATTTGTTGTCTCTGATAACAGGCGAGCTGAAAATCATGGTTTTGAAGAAATCGGCATTGTCATGTGTAGCTAAGTGTTCGTCTTGATTCTAAGCTTTCAATGAGACAAATTAATTTGAGAAACATGAAGAATATCTGCTTAAGTTTGACATTTGAGTCAGTCAGCCTCGGCATTAGTGATTAAAGAAAAATCAGGAAATCTGGATTTGAAAAAGCTCAAATGGGAATTTCAAGGAGGAGAAGAGTTAACGGTTAGATTGAAACCGAAAGAAATGAACATTCCAAAAGATGCAAGAGGGAAAATTTAGATTGAGGAAACTGGAATTTTAAGACAAAATAATTCCTTTCAAAACGTTTAGAATAATTCTAATGTGAATAGAAATGTCAGATTATTCCCTCATTTTCAAGAAAATAGGTTGACAGGTTGAGTTTCAAAATTAAAATGGGGTAATGTTATTGTAAAGTGTATTAAAAGACACAACTGATGACGTCCACTACAAGCTGAAGTTACTTCAAATATGAAGAAGTGAAAAGTGATATTGCCACAAGCCAGGTCAGCTGATTTATGGTTGTCTTATACTCAAGGTGGGACCATAGGGTGGCCTAGTGGTTAAAGTGTTCGCTCGTCACGCCAAAGACCCGGGTTCGATTCCCCACATGGGTACAATGTGTGAAGCCCATTTCTGGTGCCCCGCCATGATATTGCTTGAAAGTTGCTAAAAGAGGCGTAAAACTATACTCACTTAAACTCAAGGTTAAAATGAGTTTGAACAAACTTTCCCCATACTTTGTGAATGTCAAATCCCATTCATTCTGATATAATCACGGATATATTTGTGTTGTTTAGGAGAAGGTATGCTGTTGTCACTGCGGCTATGTGTCACTAAGAGGTGATAAGAATGCACATTGCGACCATTTACTATTCCATGGGACTTTTGCTGGATGACTAACTGACTGACTGAGTTTGGTTTTACGCCGCTTTTAGCAATATTCCAGCAACATCACGGCGGGGGACACCAGAAATGGGCTTCACACATTGTACCCATGTGGGGATTCGAACCCGGGTCTTCGGCGTGACGAGCCAACGCTTTAACCATTAGGCTACCCCACCGCCCCTTTGCTGGATGAAGTGTTTTAGATGGACCCCTGATTGT